TTCCCTGGTGGCCTAGTGGTTAGGGTTCCGGGCTTTCACTGCCATGGCCCGGGTTCAATCCCTGGTCAGGGAACTGAGATCCTGCAAGCAGGACAGCGCAGCCAAAAACAAAAGACAAAAAAAAAAAAACCCCAGAAGCCCAGAGAATACAGAACCTTCAGAGAAGAGCAAGTGTCAAAACTCCGAGAGAGGGACTTCCCTGGTGGTCCAGTGGTTAAGACTCCATGCTCCCAATGCAGGGGGCCCAGGTTCTATCCCTGATCAGGTAACTAGAGCCGCAACTAAAGATCCCAAGAGCAGCAACTAAGACCCTGCGCAGCCAAACAAATAAATATTAAAAAAAAAAAGGGCTTCCCTGGTGGCACAGTGGTTGGGAATCTGCCTGCCAATGCAGGGGACACGGGTTCGAGCCCTGGTCCGGGAAGGTCCCACGTGCCACGGAGCAACAAAGCCTGTGCGCCACAACTACTGAGCCTGCGCTCTAGAGCCCACAAGGCACAACTGCTGAGCCCACCTGCCACAACTACTGAGGCCCACACGCCTAGAGCCTGTGCTCTGCAACAAGAGAAGCCACTGCAATGAGAAGCCCGTGCACCACAATGAAAAGTGGCCCCTGCTCCCCGCAACTAGAGAAAGCCTGAGCACAGCGCACAGCAACGAAGCCAAAAATAAATAAATAAATAAATTAATTAATTAAAAAAAAACAACCCTCTGGGAGAGCTCTCAGCCTTGCCTTGAGGCCCCTTGAGCAGATCCTACCTACCAGGACACCCCACCTCCCTGCCCTCCCTGGAGAGCCAGGCTGACCTCACAGCTCTCCAAGGCTGCCTTTTGACCTCCCTCCTCCCCTTCTGGAGAAACCCCTGGAACGCTCCTCCCCCTCTTCTGTGAGCACCCAGTTCTCAGGGGATCCTGCCGACTCCCGGTTTGTAGCTCGGAGTGACTTACCTTTGCAAGATCTGACCTTGCTGCCCCCAGACAGGCAGAAGCCTCCTTGCTCTCGGGATGCCCCCTGGGACCAGCCAAAGGTGCGGGGATGCGAGTCAAGGGGTACAGGATTCCAGGAGAGGAGGGCTGGACGGGCTCATCCCTGAATGCCCTTCCAGTTCCAGTCCCTCCCCCTGCTTCCCTGCTCTCCCACCCCTCCCCCCTCCCCCCGCCATAAGGATGACTGGTCCATTCACGACATAGAGGCATTACTGCCCCAATTCCATTCACCCCCGCTCTGCTCTGTCCCCAGCCCGTGCTGTACCTTACACCTCTGGTGCCTCCACCTGGGAGGCCTTGCTCCCACTTCTTCTGCTGGACTTTTCTAGGACTTGGCTCAGAGGACTCCCTGGAGACATCTTCACTTCCCAAATTACTCATCCCTCAGTCTCCCCATTCTTTGTTCACACCCCTTGCTGTCATCTCACTCTGGTTATTATGTGCTGACACCTGCTATCTCCATCGGACACGAATTCCTTGAGGATGGATGCTGTGTGGCCCTGGTCACCTGAGACACAGGTGACCTTCAGTCTCCATGGTCTATTTCCCCATTCACGACTCAGTCCCTTACCTGCGTCCAGAGCAGATTATATTCTCAAGCTCCTTTCCATCTGTCATCCCATTTGGTGCGTACATCGGCCCAGAGAGGAAAATCAACACCGGAGAGAGGATGTGGCCAGCTCAAGACCACCTAGCGAAGGGGAGAGCCACCTGCCCCAGCAGTTCACACTGAACCTAAATGCCCCAGCTGTGGCGCACGTGCTTTTAGTGCAAAATCCCAGTGGTTTGACTCCCCAATCCAGGAAGGCACAGGAAGCCATATCTTCACAAGGAATACCCATGGGTCTCTCCAGATCACCTGGCCAGACCCTGTCCCGTCTGCCAGCCTCCTGGCTCCCTTCGATGGGTCATCCCATGCTATCTGGACCTCCAGTCACCTTAGCTGCCACTGAACACTATGGACCACTTTGCCCTGAACTTGGACCCAGACCCTCCCTTCCGTTCCCACAAGGGAACTGTCCAGCAAGGCTTTGCTAGGGGTCAGGGGAGAGCAGCACAGGCTCACCCACTGGGCACCAAAGAGTAGGTGTGAGACTACCAGATGGGTCTACCTTCAGTGGTCACCGGCCCACCTAACACTTCACTGTCAAGCCCATTGCAAGGGGCAAGTCACCATGACCCCTCCCCCCTCAGCTCCCTCAGGCCAAGAGAAGGAAGGCAGCCTCTTCCCTTTCAAGGTCTACTGCCAAATCCTCACTTCTCATCGAGGACTGACCGAGTCCCAGCCTGACCGAAAATACGAACGTCTCCTCCCTTCAGGAGCACTTCACACCCTGCCCACAGGGTCTCCCTCGGGTACAACCCGTCCCAACCCATGATCTGGGCTGTGTGGTCTGGAATAATGTCAGATGGGGGTGCCGCCAAATCCCAGTTCAGGGTGGGCTTCCGCAGGCCCAGCTCGGGGCTCCACCCTCGGCTCACCTTGTTCCTGCCGACATTTGAACTTGGCACCCAAACTTCTACAAGCATGAACTTGGACAGGGGCATCCGTGGACCTTGGAGAGGGGACCAGGTAGGCACCTCCCTAGTGCTCTAGGAAATGGCCGGGTCTGGATGGCAAGAGGGGCTCTAAGTGAAGAGGATGAGGGGGTGGGGGGTGCGTGGCCCTGGAGGACCAATCAGGTTACCCTCTCAGGGCATCCCGGGACCCTGGTCAATTCCCCCAAAGCCCAGGCTTTCTGACCATCTCCATCCAGCCCAGGGGCATGGCTAGGGGGAGGCAGGCCTCTCTCGTCTGATTTCCCCAGAGCCCAGCACAGTGCGAGGCACTGGAGCCTTCAAATAAATTGAACTGACCCAAGTCCAAATTGGAATCAAATGAGTGAAAAGAGCCATCACTTCCTCCTGGAGAATCATAAGCAAGTCAAGTGCGACGTCGGATGGATTTGGGGAAACAGCCACGCCCAGTCAAGGTGACAAGAGTAACCAAGAACACGTGGTGTGAGTAGAAGGACCAGAGGCCAGTCCGCTCTGCTGCTGTTTGGGTGACTGGTGGGCTGGTCCCCACAGGACAGCCGAACGGCTGGGTGGATTCTCCTTCTAAGCCAGACGTTCCCATTTGTCATCCCCCCTTCTCACCGCCTCTCACCTAGCTGGCTGCCAGTCCCTTCTGGGCCCTGGGAGAGGTGCTGTGTTGCAGTCTCCTGCACTCAGCTGCCTCTCGGCAACTGGGACAGGCAGAGGGCAAGGTGCCTGGGACCTCTGGGCTGTGGTGGGAAGGCAGGGCCTGCATCTGGTATTCGCTGCCGCGAGCTGCAGAAAACAGCCCAGTCTGGACCAGGGCCTGGAACAGATGCCACCAGCTGGGAGACTGAACACCAAGGCGGAGCAGAGGAGGCATCCCCATCCCCCCTCGCCACGGCCACTCTGCTCCTGACTGGCATGAAGGCCAAGGGTGGCAGGAGGGAGCCCAGGGCTTGGCCTCAGGCAGGACACCAGCTGCGGGGAGTCGCCTACCTCTCCACCCTCAGCTTTCTCACCTGTAAGAGGGAAAGAATAGTAAACAGCGCCTTCCTCAGAGGGGCTTGCAGAGCTCAGAGAGATGGTGCATGTAAAGCGCTGGGCACGGCACCGGCACAGAGCCGGTGCCCATTCATTGGTTATTCTTTTTACTGGGAAGCCACTTTACCTCTCTGTCGTGTTAGTTTCCTCCTCTGTAAAATGGGGAGGCTATAAGGATTAAGTGTGACCACCAGGTGAAGCTCCCAGTGCAGAGCCTGGAACAGACCCTCTGCAAACTGGAGGATTCCAGCTCCGGGTCTGAATGGATGGATGACCTTTCTCTCTCTGCCGGGGCTCGGCACGTGCGGGCTTGTGGTGAGCCCCAGGAAACGGTTGTGGAATTACTGGATATGCCACCTCTCGGTCCTTGTCTCTGCGTTTCTATTGTTTGAGTCTGAAGCAGGAAATCCCCAAGCTGGCGGCCGCAGGACCAACAATCTCCCTTTACAGATGAGGTCACGGAAGCCCGGAGAAGGGCAAGCACTTGCCGTGCGTCCCGCAGCCAAGCAGGGTCGGAGCTGGGCTGGGACGGTTTCCTTCCTCCGTGCAGTGTCCACAAAAGCCCCTTTCTGTCCGCTTTCAAACCTCTGTTCACTCGTGCCCATCTGACCTCCTCTTTCAGTCTCTGCCTCTTTTGCAGCCCGAGCCCAGGAACCGGTGACCAGCCCTAGTTCCCGCCAAGAGCAGAGACTGCCCTGCTGGGGGGTGGCGGTAGGAGCTGAGAATGCCGGCTGCTCGGGCCCCGGGGCCTAGGTCGGGCTGCCGACAGAAGAGTCAGTGTGCCCAGACATTGGGGCTTTTTGAGCTCAGAGCTCCGTGTGGGGACGTTGTTTTTGTTGACCTGAGATTGTTTCAGGTTGACTGAAGGGCTGCGTCTTAGCGCCCAGGCGCCAGTTCTTCGGAGCTGGTTGGGGTCTTGAGGAGAGGACGGAGGGGGTGCCCTAGTCTGGGGCAAGAAAGGGCAGTGGCTGCCTGGGTGCCCCCCCTCCGTGAACACTGGTCCCCGAGGGCAAGGCTACAGAGGAAGAGTGAGCGAGTCCCGAGGGACGGCACCAGGACAGGAGGGAGGAGAAAGCAAGCGCCCGTGCACCTTGGGACCTGAGCAGAGGGGCCTGGCCAGAATGAGGAGGGACAGAGGCAGGACAGGGGCATCCAGATGTTGGGACAGACCCACTGGGAGGCTGGGAGCTCCAGGAACCCAGCCATCGAATGTTAGTCCACGAAGGAAGACCCAGGAGACTCGTAGGGGACAGGAGGGCCTTGGGAGGCCTTGGAGGCTGGCCATCCGGGGTTGGGTGGGGTGGGCCAGACTCACAGCTGTCCAGATGTGGGTGAGAGATAACTCTGTTTACTGGGCATCCAGCGGGAGCAGGGCAGGGGGTGGAAGGGGCTCCCAGGGCCCATGGGGCGGGCAGATTAGGAGGCGGGGGCATGAGTCAGGGGTTTGGGAGCTGCCCCAGGGGTGCGGGAGCGAGGACCAAGTGCGGTTAGAGCGGGTGTGAGCTCAGCTGGTCGTAGAGGCCACCGGCGGCTGCAGGAGTTCGCCGAGGGACCTGGAGGCTCGTGAGCAGGTGAGCAGGGCGGGGAGGGGCTGGGGTGATCCTGAGGTGCCTGTCCTGAGGGTTTCTGCAGGTGCCCAACCTGAATCTGTGCCCGTGGGCAAGGATGCTGGACCTGCGAGAGGGGTGCTGGTGGGTGGGATGAGAACGTTACAATGTGTGTCGTTGCCCCTAAGGGCACAGGCCCATTGGCCCCTGCGGCTGGGAAGAGTGGGGCGGCAGGTATTAGGAAGAAAAGGCTGGCACGCGGCAGCGGCAGTGGGTGAGCTGGCTGGGTGAGTGCGTGTGGAGGGGCAAATCTGATTCCCCTCCAGGTGTGGGTTCTTGTCAGGTTCCTATTTACCAGCCCCTGAATCGAACAGGCTTGGGTCTCACCCCTCAGCCTCCTCTTTCCCCCGCGTATGGGCACCCCCAGGCCACCCCGTCTCCCTCCTAAGAGGAGAATTGTCAGCTGACACGGCTTCTCATTTTGAAACACTTCCAGGGAATCTAACCAGGGAGACCTGGCACTGTCCCCATCCTAGGGGGTATTTGGAGGGAAAGGAGGAGTCCCCCACCACCTGAGGATCTCAAAACACTTAGGTTAATTCCATGCGAATTGAAAGAAAATCAGAGGGGGATGAAGATAGCAAGTCTGTACTTGATCCCCAGTAGCAGTGAGAACGATAGCAAACGATAGCTCTTTTGTGCCAGGCATTAGTCTAAGTGTTTTATATACGTGAACTTACTTAACGCTACAACAGGCCTATGAGGTAGATGTCATTATGATTAGCCCCATGTTACAGATGAGAAAACTGAGGCACAGAGAGGTTGAGTCACTTGCCTAAGGTCACACAGTAAGTGGCAGGGCTGGGATTTGAAGCCAGGCAGCTGGATTGCAGGGTCCATGCTCTTAGTCACTGATACTAAACCAGCTAATAGCTATTTTCTCTTCTGGGAGACAACTCAGGGCAATGGTTAGAGGTGTAGCTGAAGTCAGCTAGGGCAGGGTTTAATCCTGCCTCTGCTACCTACCTGCTAGGGCACCGAAGCAGTAAACCTCTCTGAACCTCAGCTTTCTCATCTGTAAAGCGAGGCTAATGACCTTACCCGCCTCACAGAGTGATATGGGGAGAGATAAAACGGCACAGCCGTGTATGGTGTCGGGACGATTACACAAAGTTGGTGCTCTGCCACCAGGGAGCCCTCCCCGCCTTGTGGTCCACGCCGCCCCCACCAGCCTCTTCCAGCTGTGCTCTACTTCCGAGACTCCAGATGCCCTACTCCCCCTTATCTGCCTGGCCCTGGCTGGCGGGCTGGCCAGGTGTTTGGTGCGCTTCATCAGGGTCCAGGCTCTTATCAGTGTCAGCAGAGCAAGGCCTGCAGCTGGGGAGCGGCTGGGCCTGGTGGCGGCTACAATCTGGGTCATGGGTGCACCCTCTGAGGCCCCAGCAGAGCTCGAGACACCTCTGTTCTCCCCTCTCCTCTCTCACTGAAGTCTCAGAACCCCAGCAGGAAGGCGTCCCATTGTACAGACAGGGTGACTGAGCCCTAGAGAGAGGCGGGGAGCTTGACAGTCAGTGGCAGAGAGGCAGCCTGGATGTCTGGGCTCTCAGGCTCCGAAGGGACCCTCTGACCCTCTCCCCTCCCAAATGGGAAACTAAGACCACAGTCCCAGCCCATAGGCCGTGGCGGGGGGGGGGGGGGCGTGGAGTATGTTTAGCACCTCAGGCAACAAGGCCAGAGAAGGGAGAAAGAGAATAAAAATGGGAGAAGAGGAAGGCAGGGGAACCTGAGGAGAAGGGGACACGGAGGGACAGAAGAGGGAGAGAAAAAATGCGCATGACCAGACTCCTCAAAGGGCAAGTCCCCTGCAGTAGGGACACCCCATCCTCAGGCTTTGGAAACTGCCCCCCCAAGGCCATCACTTGCCCTACAACCCCCCAAAGCAGGGACTCCTGCGTTTCTCAGTGTAGGTCAGGGGCTCACTCACGCCCCTCTCTCTATCTCTAAGGACCTCAGGGCCAACCATTCCTCAGAATGGCTCTTTCCGTATATACTCCCTGCCCTGTTCCCTCCCACAGCACCCAGCCCTGTCTCGCATGGTCCTCTCTCTGCATCTTGCCCACCATTCCTGGCACCCGGGCTAGCCCTCCCCACCTCTCAGCCCTTCACATCCCACCGGTGCTTCTGGACCCAGCACCAGTGTCCCCTCCACCAGAGACGCTCTGCCTGCAGCCCCACTGCGAGTCCTACTTCCCCCTGCCACAGGCACCCTCAGCACCCAGCATGGTCTGCTCACTGCTTGTGTTTGTCCGGGGCACGTGTTTTCTCCTGAACGCCTTAGCCTGTCACGTGTTCCCAGCTTGTCTCCCCAGTCAGGGTTGCGAGCTTCTGGAGAGTAGAACAGTGTCTTGTTCATCTCAGCTTCCCAGGCTCCATGCCAGGCACAGAGTGGGCACGTTTGTCAACCTGACCCAAATCCCTGCTGCTACAATGCGCTCTGCTGCCGTGGGTAAGGCGGAGAAGGATGTCCCTGCACACGCAGCCTGGGGCCGCGCCAGGGCACCCCTGTGCTCTCCTTGGGCTGGTCCTCACATTCCTGCAGTGGGCATCCTTCCTCTCCACTAGAGACACAACTGAGAAAACGGAGGCTCAGGGCTCCACTGCCTCCTGGCTGGGTCCTAGTCATCCTGGCTCCCCAGCCCCAGAGCCCCAAGCCTGCAAGGGGGAGCCATTCTTACATTCTTTCAACACATATTTATTGAGTGCCTACTACGTGGCAACCACTCTGCTAGGAGTGGGAGATCCAGTGAGGATTGAGACGCACAGGAGCTTAGCACTCATGTGGCTTCCTTTCTAGAGGCGTCCTCAGACCATATATCCACAAATGAATTAAGAAACCAGAAAATGACAGATTGGATTAGTGACTGTTAGGGTGGTCAGGAAGGGAATCTGAAGAGGCAGCATATGAGCTGAGATGTGGGAAGGGCTGAAGTGTGGGAGTACGGGCATCCAGGATGTGGCCAACTACATGTGCAAAGGCCCTGGGGCAGGAAAGGGCTTGGTAAGGAGGCCAATGGAATAGGTGGTGAGAGAGCAAGAGAGAGGGAGTTCAAGATGGAGTAGGGGAGAGAAGCAAGGCCATATCATCCAGGACTTGTGAGCCACTCCTAAGGATACTGCAGCCCCATGCCCAGGAGGAGGCAGCCATTTCTGGGAGAAGAGGGTATTCTGTGGAGACTCTCAGCTGAGCTCCCTGAAGGAGGGACACTTCATGTTCCTGGAGTTGGTGATTCCTGGGGATGGGCAGAAAAGGAAGCCAGGTGAGGACTGGTGGATGGAGGAAGGAGTCGGATTGGAAGAACACCCCCCCTCCCATCCTCCCAAACATCCTTAGGTTGTTGCCAGCTAAGTTTCATCTTCCCTGCTCTGCCCTGTCTCTCCGGCCCCTGCGCACCTGCCCTCAGACCTACAAATCCAACCGCCTACTCACACTTCTTTCCTCTGACCCCATTGTCTCCCAACACCTGGGATCCCCCTTCACTCAAATACAGCCCCCTGTGGGGACGAATGGGAGACCCCAGGCTGCCCTGTGCCTCACTCAGCCTGTGCCTTTCCCCTGCAGGGACCTGCAGTGTGGGTTATGCTGGGGGCTCAGATCACTGCAGACAATTGAACAATCAGGACAGCGCCATGGGGGATTCACAGGTGAGTCTTGGGTGGCATCTGCAGGGCTCCTAACCCTGGACTCCTACCTTCACGGTGGTTTGTGGAGCCCCCTCCACAGCTCAACCCTGATGGCAACTTCTCACAGGAGAATGAAGATAAGCTGGAAGAGTTTCTAGAGCAGAAGGAATATGAAGACCCTGGATTCCCCACACTCCAGGTGGAGGAAGCAGAAGGTGAGCCCCATCTCCCTCTCTCCTGCTGGGATGAGCTGCTGAGCCCCATTAGACAGAGGTGGGGAACTTGTCCTCCCCTTCTCCCCGCTCCCCACCGGCCTAGCCCCAGGGCCAGTTCTCCCACAATCCTGGCTGATTGAAGGATAAACAGAGTTTTGTTTGAAATGATCACAGGAGGTGACTGGGGGTGGGTGCTGGAGGCAGGACCAGTCACCCATCACTGTGCCCCTTAGATTTTGTAAGAGGGCAGCCAGGCCTGTCGGGGACGAGGGCATGAGCCCACATGCCACCCGTGCCTATCCAATGCCGGCTTCCAGGCCAGGCACTGGGCCTGTTCTGGGAACATTGTTCTGTTTGGGGATCCAGGAGTCCTGAGAAATGGGGGGGCCGTAGAGACCCTCAGGGCGGAGAAACATCAGGAAACCTTCCTGGGCCTCTGCCCAAGGTCTCGGTTGGGGAGCCCCGGGAAGGGACCTGTTTACTGTCAACAGGACTTAAGTGCTAGCAATTGGTATTGGAGATAAGAGGCCCCTCTGGGAAATGAGGGCTGGGGGTGTAGGGGCCAATAATATAAGGGCAGACCCCACGGGGCACCCAAGCTCCACTTGGAGGCAGCGAGAAGCTACTGGCTGGTGGGATCGTTGAGGCAGGTGGGAAGAAAGAAGGGAATCTGGCCCCAGAAGGTAGCAGGAGAGGGAAGAGAATTGCCACTCAGGACTCCCCAATCCCCTTGGAGATGACCCTCCTCGTCACCACTGAGGATGAGCCCCAGGGGTCCTCCACAGCGCTCAGATGGGGGGTGACAGTGCCAGGCTGGGCGGCCAAGAACACACGTGGGGGGCCACAGCCCACTGAGCAGCACGGGCAGGGTCCCAGCCAGGGGCAAGGGGAGGGAGAGCGGCATCATCCCTGTGGTGTCCGAGGCTCATGCTGGTGGTGCAGGGAAGTCTTGCGGGAATTGTCTGCGGCCAGCGCTAACCGGCTTCTTGACTTTCAGCTCAGCTCACCGAACCGACAGCCACAGACTACCACACCGCGTCGCACCGCCCCCCAGACGTCCTCGAGGTGAGCACCCCAGCCTCCCCCGATTCTCTTTCCTGTGCTGCCCTTGGGATCCATCATTCTACCAGGGGAGGAGAGGAGCAGAGGGATAGCTACAGTTTCAGGATGGGGGGGACCCCACAAACAGGGAGAGAAGGAATGGGCCTCCTGGGAAATAGGTAAAGGACATCTGCCAGAGAGGGGGGAGACCCGGGGCCCCCTTCCACTGATGGGGGAGCTCCCTGGACAGAGATAAATGGACAGCTGGAGGTCTGAGCCACCAGGTCCGCTGGCCCTGGCTGGGCTGTCAGTTACTCCCCGGGGAAGCACAGAATTAAATACACGCTCTCCTCAGCCCAGTCCCCCACGGCCCCCCACGTCCTTGCTGGACTCCAGACGGTCTAGCTGGTTAGAAAATCGGGTCTGCCCTCAGCTAAGCCCCTGGGACTGGCCATCTGGCCCCAAGGAACCCCAAGGGCATGCTGAGCCCACACGACAATCTTGGAGGCAGGAGGCTGACCCAGTGACCCCAAAGGCTTCCCTCTTCTTTCCTCTCCTGCCCCCTCTAGCAGCCCTTTTGCCCCAGAGTTTGTTCAAATGCCTCTGAAATGGGGTGAGGGGCCTGGTCAGGAGGTTGGGGAACAGAGCCAGAGGTGGGGGACCCCCAGTTATCTCCTCACAGGTCACACCTCACTCTACACCCTGAGGATGGAGCTCCTGACGGTGCCTTTTGAGCTCAGGCTCTGCCCTCAGAGCTCCAGGGCCCCTGGGCCTCTGATGGACATCTCTCAGAGCCTGCTGAGTGCCCACGGTGCCCTGGGCTTCCAGCCTCCCCACAGCCCTGCCCGGGGCCCGAGGGACTAATGCAGGCCTGTGGGGCTGCAGGTCGTCGTGGAGCTGCGGGAACTGGTGATGGATGAAAAGAACCAGGAGCTACAATGGATGGAGACAGCGCGCTGGGTGCGGCTAGAGGAGAACCTGGGGAAGGACGGGGTATGGGGCCGCCCACACCTGTCTTACCTCACCTTCTGGAGCCTCTTGGAGCTGCAGAAAGCCTTTGCCAAGGGTGAGTGAGCCCCTCTGTGCCCCGCTGCGCGTGGCCCCTGCATGTGAAGTTGCTAGGGAGGAGGAGGGCCAGGGCCAGCCAGCCCGTTCACCCCTCCCCTGCCTGCAGGTACTGTCCTCCTGGACCTGCCAGAGAAATCCCTGGCCGGGGTGGCCAGCCAGCTGCTGGACAGGTTTATCTTCGAGGGGCAGATCCAGCCTCAGGACCGAGAAAATCTGTTCCGGGTCCTGCTGCTCAAACACAGGTGCCCCTGTCTGCCAGGCCCTGGATTCCACACCCACAGGGCCCATCTCCCCGGCCCGCCTGCCCCAAGCTCTCCCTGGGGGTCCAGATGGCCCCTCCCGACCAGGCTGGGCCCCACTTTTCTTCCACAATGTCTCCTGCTTCCGGCACCTCTCGAGCGGTAACCATGTCTCCACGCTCAGGGTTGGGGGCCGCTGGTCCCCAGGAGGGCGGGCTCTCAAGGTCCCTCTCTCCATCCATTCTTCTGGCTCCACCTAGTCGTTCCAGACAGAGCCCACCCGCTTCCATCCACAGTGTCCTTCAGAGGAGGCTGATTCTCCTTCCGCCCTGGGCCTCTCTAGTCTGGTCACTGGCAAGTCCCATGTCCCTCCCACCACGGGTCTCCACTCTGCTGACAGCCCAGGCGGAGCGGCCTACTCAGCCCATGTCCCCTGTGTGTCGTCCTGCAGCCACGCCAGAGACGTGGAGGCCCTGGGGAGTGTGAAGCCTGCAGTCCTGACACGTTCTGGGGACCCTTCACAGCCTCTGCTCCCACAGCATCCCTCGCTGGAGACAGAGCTCTTCTGTGAACAGGTGAGGCTGTACCAGGGGTGTGTGAGGAGAGCCGGAAAGCTCCCAACCTGAACATGGTTCGGAATGAGAGTGGGTAGGGCAGACGGGGTGGGCTGCTCCAGTGTCCAGGGTCCAGAGTGGCCGGAGGACTCCCCCACCACCCTCCTTCCAACAGGGAGAGGGGAGCGCGGAAGGGCACTCGTCATCTGGAATGCTGGGAAGGAGTCCCCAGGACCGGGAGGCCACCCTGGTGCTGGTGGGTAAGTGGGCAGAGCGTCCGTCCCTCACCCCTTCCTGTCCCCTGCTCCTGCCTCCTGCCCTGGCCCAGCCTGCCTCTCCCTAAGCCTGCACCCCAGCAGCGTGCCCCCCTTGGCCTGGCCCGACCACCTCACTTCGTCTGTCCCCAACAGGCTGTGCCAGGTTCCTGGAGCGGCCAGTGCTGGGCTTTGTGCGACTAAAGGAGCCCATGGAGACGGAGCAGAAGCCACAGGAGCCAGAGGGGCCGGCAGTCCCTGTGCGCTTCCTCATCGTGTTGCTGGGACCTGAGGCCCCCAACATCGACTACACCCAGCTGGGCCGGGCTGCTGCCGCCCTCATGTCAGAGAGGGTGAGGAGGGGCCGGCGAGGGCTGGGGGAGCCCAGGGGGCTGGGTGGCAGCTGAGGCCTCGTCCCCAGCCCCGGTTACTTTAACTTCACTAGTTTGGCCCATTCAGTCTGATCTAGCTGCTTCCGTCCTGTCTGGCCAGGGGGAGTCCAGGCCTGTGTAGTCTGGCCTAACCCTGCCTGATCAGGCCTGGTCTAGTCTGGCCCACTCTGCCCCGGTTCTGTCTGGTTAGGTCTGGCCTGGTCCAGCCTGATCTGCTCTCGTTCCATCTGGTCTGCTATGAGCCACCTGGTTCGCTTTAGTTCTTTCTGCTTTTCCGACTCAGGGCCCTGCCTGCCTCCCCAAAGCCCTTTCAGAGCAGAAGGTGGAAGGCCAGAGGGGAAGGAAAAGCAGTTCCCAGCAAGCAGGGGCTGGGGGAGAGGGGCCCCTAGGCCCTGGCTCTGGCCTCTTGGATCCTTTTGTTGAGCAGGTCCTTGTGGCTCTGACCTTCCTTCCTGCTCCCAGGTGTTCCGCACTGATGCATACTTGGCCCAGAACAAGGAGATGCTGGTGCATTCCCTAGAGGGCTTCCTAGACTGCAGTCTGGTGCTGCCGCCCACGGACGCGCCCTCTGAGGATGCCCTGCTCAGTCTGGTGCCCGTGCAGAAGGAGCTGCTGAAAAGACGCTACCTGCCCAGCTCAGCCAAGCCAGAGCCCAGCTTCCTCAAGGGCCTAGGTACCTGCCCTGCCCAGCCCTGGGCACCTGCCCTGCCCAGCCCTGGGCTTGCTGAGCCCCCAGACCTCCAGACAGCCCAGCACAGCCCTGTGAGCCCCTACCGCCCCTCTTCCCATTAAACCTCCCATGTCCCCTCTCCCTGTCCTCATGCCTCCCAGCCTCCTGGACCCCCCCATTCCCATCAGACAATCCCCTTCTCGATTCCCTTTTCCCCACACTTCCCCCTTCCACCCCCCGTGACCGTGGTCCTGCCCTTCACTACAGATTTGAATGGGGGTCTGGAGGACACCCAGGATGACCCTCTGCAGCGGACAGGCAGGCTCTTCGGGGGACTGGTACGGGACATCCGGCGCCGCTACCCCCGCTACTTGAGTGACATCACAGACGCATTGAACCCCCAGGTCCTGTCTGCCATCATCTTCATCTACTTTGCCGCCCTGTCACCTGCCATCACCTTCGGTGGCCTCCTGGGTCAGTGCCTCTGTGTGTCCCACTAACCCTCACCTCCGACCCTCTGGCCTCAGTATCAGCCCTGACTTTGCCCCGATCTGACACTCTGGACCCCCACATCATCTTGTCCATGAGATGCTCTATCGGCCTCTGGAAATGACCTTGACCTTGACTGCACTGTCACTTCCATCCACAGGAGAAAAGACCCATAACCTGATGGGTGTGTCGGAACTGCTTATCTCCACCGCGGCGCAGGGCATCCTCTTCTCCCTGCTGGGGGCTCAGCCCCTGCTCGTGGTGGGCTTCTCAGGACCCCTGCTCGTGTTTGAGGAAGCCTTCTTCTCGGTAGCTCTGTTCTGGCCCCACTGTCACCCTGTAACTGGCCCCTGGCCCAAGCTGCTTCATGCACGGGGCCTGGGCCCATTTACCTGACCCCAGCTCCCTCTGACACCCTACAGTTCTGCAAGAGTAACGGCCTGGAGTACATCGTGGGCCGCGTGTGGATTGGCTTCTGGCTCGTCCTGCTGGTCGTGCTGGTGGTGGCCTTCGAGGGCAGCTTCCTGGTCCGCTTCATCTCCCGCTACACCCAGGAGATCTTCTCCTTCCTCATCTCCCTCATCTTCATCTATGAGACCTTCTCCAAGCTGGTCACGGTGAGGGCCATGCATGTGTGCGTGCATGTGTGTGCGCGTGCATCCGTGTGTGTGTGTGACTGTGCACAAGCGTGTGACTGTCATTGCACATGCGTCTGTATGGCATTTATGTGGCCGTGTTTTCACGGTATGTGACTGTGACCACATACATGTGGATGCCTGCTGTCTGTGGGCCGGTATTCTCACCACGGCTGTGCGGAGTGACGGTGCATGAGAGCTCCCCTCTGCCTGCACAGGCCCATGTGTATAACCACATGCAGTAACCAGTGGGCACGTGTGAGACTGAATGTGGGAAACTGCAGGCGTGGCGGGGTAGCAGGGGTCCTGGAGACTCTGAAGTCCCCCACTCCTTCTCCTGCAGTTGCCCTGAGGAACTGCAGGGCCTGCAGAGGGCAGGCCCCGCCTCCTCAGCTCTGTCACCTTAAACCACGCCTGCCTCTGTGTCTGCATTTTACATGGAGGAAGGGTGGACCCTGTCCATCTACCCGATCCTGTTGGTCGGTGGGTCCTTCTCTGCTTTCCAAGTGTCTGGAGCCTAAGTCTTTTTAGGACCCTCCTTGGCACTTGTTTCCTGCCCTCCAGCCTTCTCATGGCTCCCAGGCCCTAGATGCTCGTGTGCGCGCGCGCGCACACACACACACACACACACACACACACACACACACTTTCATTTCCTCCATGGCCTGCCCCGCCCAAGCCTAGCCTGGTCCTCAGTCCTGAAAACCAAGCTGTGGAATCCCATTGCCTCTCTGTTACTGTGTCAGTTGAGGAAGAAGAGAGGTAGAGGGATGATGCACAGACAGATGGATGGATGAATGGTTGATGAAGAGAGAGAGAGATGCTGAATAGAGAGATGGATGATGGATGGGTGGACGATGGATAGACAGATGATACATGATGCGTGTCTCATGATGGCTGGAGGATGGATGGATGGGAGGAAAGAGGATGCCTTGGTTTTCTGTTGCAGATCTTCCAGGACCACCCACTGCTGGAGAACTATGACCACAATGTGACAAGAATACCCAAACCTCAGGCGCCCCTGCCCAACACAGCCCTCCTCTCTCTTGTGCTCATGGCTGGCACCTTCTTGTTTGCCATGACGCTGCGCAAGTTCAAGAACAGCTCCTACTTCCCTGGCAAGGTCAGCACATCCCCCCACCTGTCCTTGCCTACACTGCCCTGTCCCAGTCTACAGCTCTCCCCTCAGCTTTCCCAGTGCCATTCGTTCCCCTTCTTACCCTAGATTCCCATTTCCAATTCCAAGCCGCCCTCCCCCCTCATCATGCAGGATTTTACTCTTGAGACAAGCGCATCTCGCTTTCTCGGCACGTCCAGGCTGAGAACCCAGTGGGGAACCAAGGACAGTTCTTGGAAGGGAGTGGAGAAGCTGTGGGGCCGGGGGTGGGGCTGGGCCAGGTGAACAAGAAAGGAGGCAGGTATGTTGAGAAGCAGGACAGGGCATTAGATGTTCCCCCTGGGGAGAGTGGGACCCCCTGGTGAAGACGGGGCAGGAGTGGGGGCAAGTGGCAGGTGAGAGGTGGGAAGCAACTGGGCACTGACCATTGGTCCCTTCACCTGCCCTCAGCTGCGACGAGTCATTGGGGACTTTGGGGTTCCCATCTCTATCCTGATCATGGTCATGGTGGATGCCTTCATCCAGGACACCTACACCCAGGTGACCCTCTCCCCCACCCTTATTTCATTCCCCCAGCATGCACCCTCCCCCAAACTGCCTTCCCAAACCTGAAGCCAGCTAGAACTACCCCTTCCCCAGTCCTGTCTCTCCAAGCAGCCCCATGTTCTTCCCACAGCCCTTCAGGACACCTCTGGCTGAAGAAAGGGCCTGGGTCAGTTTGCCCCCTTTTTCTCCTTAATCCAGAGCAGTAGGAAAGAATCCGCTTTGAAGCCAGGTTGATCTGAGTATGAATCTCAGTTTTGCTACCAAATAGCTGTGCAATGCAGAGCCAGCTACATAACTTCTCTGATCCCGTTTCCTCATCTATAAAGTAGGGAATGAGAAAATGTATGTAAAGGGCTTCAGTGCAGTGACTGAGTACAAAGTAGATGCTCAATATAAGTAAGTTCCCAAGGGCCCAGGCCCCTGGTTCTCCCTGTCCCCACCCTTCCCCAGCCCCCTGCCCCCAGGTGTTCTCACCAGCATCCCCCTCCCACAGAAACTCAGTGTACCTAAAGGGCTCACCGTGTCCAACACCTCGGCCCGAGGCTGGCTCATCCACCCGCTGGGCTTATATAAGCCATTTCCCATCTGGATGATGTTTGCCTCCGCCCTGCCTGCCCTGCTGGTCTTCATCCTCATCTTCCTTGAGTCCCAGATCACCACGTAAGAGCCAGGGTGGGACTGGGCCTGGGAGGGTCCGAGGCAGAGAAAGGGACAGGCTCCAGGCAGGCAGGACACCAGCGACTGAATGCTAGTAGGAAGGATGGACGGACAGGAGGTCCAGGTTTTGTGGGACATGACGTGGTACTATTTAGGGAGCCCTTTTTAATAAAAAGAATATAAAAGTAGGCGCTAGATCTTGGAAAGGGCCTGTGCCCGTGAGGTTCCCTGAAGCGTATGTTTCTTTAGCTTCAGCGTAGATCGGCCGGTGGGTGTTCTAGGTGATGATGAAAACACTTCTGCTCTTAGAGTCTCGATTTCTCAAGATGGTGCAGGAGGGAGGGGAGAAAGGAACTCTAAGGGAGACGGGCAAAGAAGGATAAACTAAAGTACAGAGGGACCCAAGTCTAGGGGAGGAAAGAGAGGGTGAAGGGGGTTGGGGTGAAGGAGAGCCCCGCTTACTCCTGACCTTCCACACCCCCAGGTTGATCATCAGCAAACCGGAGCGCAAGGTGGCCAAGGGCTCTGGCTTCCACCTGGACCTGCTGCTGGTCATGGGCATGGGCGGGGTGGCCACCCTCTTTGGGATGCCCTGGCTCAGTGCCACCACTGTGCGTTCTGTCACCCACGCCAACGCCCTTACGGTCATGGGCAAGCCCAGCACCCCAGGGGCTGCAGCCCAGATTCAGGAAGTCAAGGAACAGCGCATCAGCGGGCTCCTGGTCTCTGTGCTCGTGGGTGAGTGAGGATTGGCCACACTTTCCAGCACCCTCAGCCCCTGCCCCTTAGGATCCAGCGCCCCTCCAGCCCTGACCACCCTGCAGCCAGGTCTCCCCAGACACCCACTGCCCACATCTCCCCAGTGTCAGTTATTCACATGAAGGAATTCTGTAGGAAATACCCGAGGCACTGAAATGGGATCTGAGGGGGATGGGGAGGGCACTCCATTACTGGAAGCTTCTCTAGACAAGACCCTGTACTCTGAGCTTCTCCAACAGTTCAGTGAACTGTGGGCTCCAGCCCTGCCCCGCTGCTGACTAGGTATCCCACCCTGTCTCTGGACCTCAAGTTTCCCTCTCTGCACCATTACAGGGTTCATTAGATGCTGAGCTCTCTCTAGCTCAGTTGCTCTGTGACTCATACAAAGGGCAGTGCTCCTAGGTGGGGGTGTGAGGTGAAGACAGAGGGTCACTGATCTGAGTTCCAGAGCAGCTGAGAGTCCAGCTGGGCTTGGTGTGGGCAGCGCCACGGGATGCAGAGGCCAGGGAAGTTTCCTAAAGGAGGCGAAGCTGATGCTAGCTGGAGGAGGGCTGGGATTTGGGTAGGTGGAGGGTGATGGAGGCATTCTGGACCGGGGTAAGAGGAAAGGTGGGCTTCTCTGCCCTCTGTGACTCCCTAGGTTAAAGGAGTAGGCTTTGAAGTCAGGCAGGCAAGCGTCTGACTCCCTGCTCTGCCACTTACTAGCTGTGTGGCCTTAGGTTAGTTGCTTCACCTCTCTGAGTCTGCTTCCTCATCTGCAAAATGGAGGTAATATCTATTAAGAGGATCCAGGGAATTCCCTGGTGGTCCAGTGGTTAGACTTGGTGCTTGCACTGCTGTGGGCCCGGGCTCCATCCCTGGTTGGGGAAATAAGATCCCAGAAGGTTCCTGGCGCGGCCAGAAAAAAAAAAAGAGGATCCACAAAAAGGGTTCCATATAGTCCCTGTGACATCATTCCCCAGCCTCTGCTTGTGCCGATCCTCTGGGGCAGCTGGGGCTAAGACTGCGTGGATCTCCCCACAGGCCTGTCCATCCTCATGGGGCCCATCCTGTCCCACATCCCCTTGGCTGTGCTCTTTGGCATTTTCCTCTACATGGGGGTCACATCCCTCAGTGGCATCCAGCTTTTTGACCGCATCTTGCTTCTGTTCAAGCCGCGCAAGTACCACCCGGATGTGCCCTACGCCAAGCGGGTACGGGGCCCTCCCGGCTGCCCAGGTCAGGGGCGGGGGGTGGGTGGGGGGCCGGGTGCCTGGGCAGGGCAGGCCATGACCCCAGCCTCCGCCCGCAGGTGAGAACCTGGCGAATGCACTTGTTCACGGGCACTCAGATCATCTGCCTGGTAGTGCTGTGGGTGGTGAGAAGCATCAAAGCCATCTCGCTGGCCCTGCCATTCATCCTCATCCTCACGGTGCCCCTACGCCACTTCCTGCTGCCACTCATCTTCCAGAACCTGGAGCTCCAGTGTGTGAGTTGCTTCTCCCACCACCCAGCCCGCGCCCCTCCCCCCCATTTCCTATGGCCAGAGGGCACAACTCCAGAGCAGAGGGCAGCAAGGGGACATCAGTGGGGCTCAGCAAATGTGAGAAGTGTGTCTGGGAACTAAGGAAGGCAGAAGAGCATCGTGATTAAGGTCTAGGTTGGGGCCTGCGTCCAAATCCCAGCACTGCCACATCCCAGTGTGTGACCTGGAGCTAGCGGCCCCGTTTCTCTGTACCTCAGGTTTCCTCACCTGTAAAGAGAGGAATAATGACAGGGCTGGTGAGAGGACTGAGAGGCTCACGAGATGTGTTCCACTTGGGTGGTCCCCACCACTGAGCGGCTAGTCCTGTGGTCTTATAAACCATCCGGAGAGTGGCTCTTCCAGTAGAATTCTTCCACGATGTGACACAGGTCACTGTGGCGCTGCCCCGGTGAAGGGGTCTCCTGCCTGCCCTCTGGAGGCCCTCCCCTACCAGGGCACCAGATTCCTGGAGGCTCCCCACCCTGAGGAAACCTCTCATCTAGACCAACCCTAGGAGATGCAGGGACAGGACAAGACTTGTCCAAGGTTCAAAGAGAGACAGGCTCTCCTGACCCCAGAGGTGCCTCCGCGCTGGGGGGAGGGCTCACCTGGGCCCTCAGCCGCTCACCCTATGTCCTTCCTGCCCCCCCCCCGCCAGCTGGATGCTGACAATGTCAAGCCGAACTTCGATGAGGAGAACGGTCAGGATGAATATGATGAGGTGGCCATGCCTGTGTGAGGGGAGGGCCCAGGCCCCAGAGCCCTCTCCATCGTTCCACTTCCCCACTCTCCCAGGAAAAGCAGAAGTTCATGGGCACCCTATGGACTCCCAGGTCCCTCCTGGGGCAGCAGTCGAGGCCCTGGGGCCACGGGTGGGGGAAGGAAAGGGTGTCTAGGAAACCTTGTATGAAGGGTAGACTGGCTTTTCTGGATAGAAAAGGCCAGTGGGGCCCACAGTAGGGGGATTCGCTGTGCAGTCCCTCCTGTGGCCACACTGCCACCTGGGAGTCCCACCCTGGAAGACTTAGATTCAAGCCCTACCTCCTCATGACACAGACACGGGAAGTAAAGAGGATGGGAGTTGGGTGGGGGGGATTCAAATTCCTGCTTTCTGTGTGACCTTGGGCAAGTCCCTGGATCTCTCCAGCCTCTGCTTCCTCATCTGTAAAATGGGTATATTGATAATCACACCCACATTACAGGATGGTTTCTGAGGACCAAAGATAAATGTGAAAAAAGGGCTTCGTAAAATCTGAAAGGACTATTACCCAGTAGTCATCCTTCTTCAAGCCTGCCCAGAGTCACAGAGCTCCTGAGCCACACAGCCGGGATTTGACCTCTGAGGCCAGAGTCTACTTCAGTCACCCACCTTTCCATGATGCCCCTGCTGGCCCCTCTCTTCCCCCTCTCTGCTCCCACTGGGGACCCTCTTCTCTGGGGCGGAGGAAGGTGTCCTGGTGAGGGTAAGGTGCAGGTAAGGACAAAATCAGGGCTGGGACTCAGGACTCCTAAGTGCTGCTCCCTCCCCCACGCTCTCATTCATTCACTCATCCATTCCTTCCACAAACATTTATCTAAGGCCCTGGGCCCCGTGGACACAGAGGTGACCGAGACAAGCCGTTGCCTTGGGGTTGGGAGTGGGGGGCAGTGTACAGTCCGTTCTTCATTTGGATGGGGGTGGGGGAGGGTGGGAAGATAGGGAGGAGATGGGGAGGGGGAGGGAGGGAGGTTTGTAATTTATACCTTGTGTATCCTCAGAGCTTTCATTGTCCTTGAGCTACACGCAGGCACACTTGCGCACGCGAGCCCCAATTAGAGACACACTGTCCTCAGCTCCACTTGAACCAAATCTTGGGGAGAACCCAGATTCGACCAATTGGGGTAGGAGACAGTGGGAGCTGCAGAATATGGGCAAAATCTATTTTTTTACAAAAGAAAAATATAAAAAGAGTTGAAAGAACTGGAAGTGGTGAGAGATGGTTGAAACTGAGAATCAGGGTGTGACAGAAAAAAAGGAGGCTGAGAGAGGGCTCTCAGGTTCCTCCTGAAGGCTCACAGCTGCCTCCCACCACTTCACTGTTCTATGCCTCAGTTTCCTCATCTGTGAAATGGGGACGATAATGGTACCTACTTCGTAGGTTTGTTGTAAGGATTAAAGGAGACGTTGCCTATAAAGTGATTGCTTAGCACAGCGCCTGGCCTCAGACCCCATCAGAAGAGTTAGCTGCTGGTATTGTTATTCTGACTGGGATGCCCCTGCCCCTTCCTACCCTCTGCTCCTTGAACACTGCCAAGTGGAAAAAGTCACTCACCCTGCTAGCACCCTTCCCCTTGATGTTTGGGAATAGGTTTTACTAATAAATGCATCTGTGGTGGAGTGAGTGCCATGCTGGAATTCCCTTCCCAGGGTCGGGGGTCCAAGGGGTCTGGGCTGGACCAGGTGGAGAAGGAAGGTATGGTGTGGAGCTGGTGTAGGGCTGTGGCCCTAGGGGGCAGGAAGGGCCAGGCTGGGGGAGGGGTGTGGCACTAGAGTTGGGGGAGAGGCAGGGCTGGTGGCCCAGAGCCCTAGGGTGGAGAGGGCCAGCACCCAGTGAGGGGGTGGGAGAGCAAGGGAAGACAAGTTTATGCCCCGGACATCCCTCCTCTCCAAAATAAGCATGGAGGTGGGGAGAGGGGCGCCCCCTGCCCCTTGCACAGTGAACCCCACATCCCTTAGGACCAGTTGGCCCCTTAGCCTGGACACATCAGGCTGGGCAGCACCGCTAACAGAAATTGTCAGAGAGAAAATGCGATTTGCCATCGGTCACACAGGAACAGCATCTCTTGACCAGCTTTCCACCAGCCTCCACTGTGATGCCCTTGGAGGCCCTGCCCCCCACTCCCACTCCCAGCCACTTCCAGCAACTCTAGGGGACTGCTGGGCCAGGTGTCACCCACCCCTGGTGAGGAAGGTGTCAGGACATCACCCCTCACCACCCCAACCCTCCAAAGAGAGGTCAGTGCAGGGTTGGGCCGCCTGGCTTCCTTCCCTGGATCTATATTTACATGCTGCCTATCCCCAGCTGACCCCTCCCAGGCTGGCCAGGGCGGCCGCCAAAGGGCCAGAGAGCTACTGTGGCCCCAGGATAGTAGTCTCAGCCAGTCACCTCCCACACACGGCAGCTTCATGTCCCACAGAGCTGTCCCAGTCCCCAGGGCTTGACAGAGGGACACCCTAAGTCAGCAGGGAAGGCATTAAGGAAACGTGAAGACCGCAAAAAATCAGTCGGGATCCAGCTTCCTGCCTGGCCCGAGACCTTACTCTCCCGACATTTCCTGCCCCCTCTCCTCGCAGATGCCCTGCCCCCCACGTCCACATTTCCTCTCAGGAAAACTACCTCAACGTGAATTAGCTGCCGTGAGGAACACCCTTTTGTGTGAACGCAGAGTAACCTAAGCCTAACCCACTCCCGGCAAGGGAATAACTCAACAGAGTTGAAAATCTCTGTACCTGAAACTATTCTTTGCAGGACTGTCTATGAAAGTGAAAAGCTAGAAAGAGTCCAAATACTCAGCAATAGGAGAGCTGTTAGTAAATTACAGTGAATTACCCGACATCAATATAATGGACCCTTAGGCAGGCCCTAAAAACAACTATGATGATGAAGAAGTGATTGGATCCGCTTGGTGCAATCACGTGATCCTGGGCATCTGAGGCCGAGATATTTGAAATTCCAGCTAAGAACCACATTCCTGAGCTCAGTTTTCTGCATCTGTAAAATGGAGGTCAGGACACGGTACTTACCTCATAATGTTACTGAGCGGATGAATTGAGATCACACACCAGTGGGTCCTAGCCCAGTGCTGGCACTGAGTACGCAAAAGTGCATTCCTAGGATTTCCCTCGTGGCGCAGTGGTTAAGAATCCGCCTGGCAATGCAGGGAACACGGGTTTGATCCCTGGTCCGGGAAGGTCCCACATGCCGCAGAGCAACTAAGCCCGTGTGCCACAACTACTGAGCCTGCGTGTCACAACTACTGAAGCCTGCATGCCTAGAGCCCGTGCTCCGCAACAGGAGAAGCCACCACAATGAGAAGCCTGGGCATCACAGTGAAGAGTAGCCCCTGCTTGCCACAACTAGAAAAAGAAAGACTTTGCGCAGCAACGGGACCCAACACAGCCCCCCAAAAAACTTAAAAATAAATAAATAAATTAATTAATTAAAAAAGAAAAAGTGCATTCCTATTCCTAAGGGAAGCACGCAGTGATGTGACTGTCATGGTGACAGCCTTGTGGAAAAGTATGGTGGGCACAGGAATGAAGGTTAGAGGCTTAGATGGAAAAAATTAAAATGTCACGGTGGTAGAGGTATAGGGGATATCAATTTCTTTCCTCCTTCTTTTGGACTTTAGGTGCAAAGGGTTAAGTTAATCATCCTCCTCAGTCCAGAGTGGATTTTCGTTGACCGTTCTTATTTCCTTCCTTCTGTCCTTCCTTCCCCTTTGTCCTCATTTTCTATTCCCTCCTATTTTCTTTCCCCTCCATAGGTGGTCACTCTCACATGTTTAATGTGTATCTTTTTGTGTGAACATAGTCTTGAAAATATGTATCATTGATATTGTTTTAAGTTTTATTATGAATTTTAATACATACACAAAAGTAGAGACAATAGTACAACAAACCACCATATACTCATCTCCCAGATGCAGAAATTATCAAGATTTTGCCTTAAAATCTTGCTTAAATCTTTGCCTAAAATACACTTTCTCTTTTTTCCCTCTGCTGAACTAAATACTTGAAAGTAAATTTCATACGTCATGCCATTTCACCCTTATACCTTTCAGCTATGCGTCCCCCCAGCACTGATCATTTTTGAACCCAACTGCAGTGCCATTGTCACACCCAACAAAATTAGCAAAAAATTAGCAAAATTAGCATTCAATCCATAACTAAATTTCTCAGAATGCCTCTTTTTGGTTGGTTTCAGGGGGTATGTGTGTGTTGGGCTGTACCCCACAGGCCTACAAGCCCTGTGCTTGCCCAGCCTCGAGACCCAAGAAAGAGCCCAGAGTCAGCAATAGACACATCGATGGTTTAATGGATGCGGGAGCCTACATGTGTGAAGCAGGGTCCTGGAGCGACACCTCACCATGTACGGCAGACAGGACATGGTGGCAGTCTTCGCTCCCTAAGGGAACGGGAGACTGCCACATACAGGGGGAACTGACATCAGGTTGGCTCATTAGTTACCAGGGAAAGCAGCAGAGAGGCATGCCCCTCACCACCCCTTCGATAAGCTATCACTAGCTGGGCCTGGGGCAAGTACATAGGAAGGTCAGTCATGTGCGTAGGGTATAGGTGAAGCAGGCACTTGTCGGGCAGGGGATGTACACAGAGCAAGAGAACAGCCATCTCGAATGGCCTGACATTACAGTGTATTCTAATGTATTATTCTACATTATTCTAATGTATTCTAATACATATTCTAATGTATTTCTATACATTACCAGCACTGTGTTCTAGGCCTTGCACTGTTCGTCCTCTTTGCACCCAGCACTGTGGCTTTAAGATCCAGCCAGGTTGCCCTGAGTTGGATCCAGCCAGGAACAGAGTTGCTTTAATTGCTGTGGGGTGCTCCATGGGGGCATTCCCCACCTTTGGCCTCTTCACTCTCCCAGGGAGGGACATCTGACTGCACCCAACTCCCCTCCAGTAAGCAATGCTGCAATGCACATCCTCAGCCTTGTCCTCTTATGGATCTAGTGAGAATCTCTCTGAGTTATAAATGTAGAAGCCAGGAGTGGACTTGCTAGGTCATAGGGTATAAATACATCTGTCTTCATTTGACTAAGTACAGCCATATTTTTCTCCGCTATGTCTGCACCAGGCCACACTCCCACACACAGAGCAGGAGGTTCCTATATTCCCATATGATTGATATTATCCAGCTGTCTGATTTTTCCTACCCCGACTGAGGTATTATCTCACTGTTTTTTGGGTTTTTTTTTTTGCGGTACGCGGGCCTCTCACTGTTGTGGCCTCTCCCGCTGCGGAGCACAGGCTCCAGACGCGCAGGCTCAGCGGCCATGACTCACGGGCCCAGCCGCTCCGCAGCATGTGGGATCTTCCCGGACCGGGGCACGAACCCGCGTCCCCTGCATCGGCAGGCGGACTCTCAACCACTGCGCCACCAGGGAAGCCCCCTCACTGTTGTTTTATTTGCATTTGTCTGATCACCAAAGAGTTTGAGCATCTTTGCACTTAGTGATTAGTCTTTAACGTTTCCTCTTATATAAAGTCTTTTTACATCATTGGATCATATTTCTATTGATGCCTTTTTGGAGGTTGATTTGCAAGAGATCTGGAAGAATCTATGTTGGTTTTGGATGTTGCAAAAATATTCTCCCATTTTGTCATCTCTCTCTTAACTTTGTCCACCTCGTTGAACAGAAATCTTTAATGTTGATGTCATTAAATATACACAAGAGGAAGAGTTTGGGTTTGATTCAATAGGCACCAGCAAGTCACTGCAGGTTCTAGAACTGGGGATGACGTGATGAAAGTGATTCACCTGGGAGCTGTATACAGGAGAGGTTGGCTGCAAAGAGGAAAATTGGGAATCCTTCCATGTAGGTGAGTCAATAGCAGAGGCAGGTGGACATAGCTCCAATTCTCATAGGACTTCCAGTCT